TGGATATCTGCTCCACCATGGACATCCATGGACTCCAGGGGGGCAGCCTGCCTCACCATGGTCTTCTCCAGGGGCTGTAGGGGAATCTCTGCTCTGGTGCCTGGAGCACCTCCTGCCCCTCCTTCTTCACTTGACCTGGGTGTCTGCAGAGTTGTTCCTCTCACATCTTCTCATTCCTCTCTCTGGCTACAATTGCTCTTGGTGTTTTTTTGTTGTTGTTTGTATTGTTTTTTTGCTTTCCCTTCTTAACTATGTTACCCCAGAGGCACTACCGCCGTGGCTGATGGGCTCGGCCTTGGCCAGCAGCAGGTCTGTCTTGCAGCCGGCTGGCATTGGCTCTGTCGGACGTCAGGGAAGCCTCTGGAAGCCACCCCTGCGGCCCCCCTCCAGCTACCAAAAGCTTGTCACACAAACCCAGTACAACTTCTCATATAACTTAATTTGACCTGTAAGTGGACCAAAATAGCATATTCTTTCCTGCTCTTCCTACAAGCATCATACTCCGTAAAATCGAGGGGAAAATTTGTATCAAAACACATAAGGATTAGAGAAAACAAGACAAACACAACAAAAACAAACAAACACTACAAAAAAAACGTGAGATAACCTAGAGCAAGCAGAGCCCAGACATTCTCTGATGGACTTTAATTTAACACCAAACATACCGTGAATTGAGTCCAGTGACCCAAGATCAAGCATTGGTTTCAAATAAGCATTTGGGATGGTATTAACAAACACTAACTTCAGGTTATCTACAGAACATCTTACATCCTTTCATCATGGCATCTCCCAAATAACCATGTGACCCTTCAAGTCTTAAAAATGGTTTATATTGAATTCTTTGTAAGGGATTTCTTAAAAATAACCTCTTGTACTGTCAGAACACCTTAAAGTACATAGAGTACACTTAACACAATCACATTTCAGGAGAATTGAAAGGAAGAGAGCTGGAAAAGAAACTTCAAGTTTCACAATACACAGCCTATGCCAGTTCTGGCACAACTGTTACTGAACGGGAAGCTCTCACTAACATTTGGTCCTCCCCTACACCTCTGAGCCTGGTAGTTAAAAGCACTGCGAGAGGACTAGAGTTCCTAAAATCTTAGACAAGACACTAGTAGTTTCTGACACATAATGGTGAGAAGTGACAGACAAACCCAATGCCAAAATGAGTTGTCAAAACTAGTCCTAAAATAATGAACAGAGCTGAACTAAAGCATATTTATTTCAAGGCAGTAAGAAGCCTCAGAGAAGTGAGCCTCTTGCACACCTTGGTCAGCCATGAAAAACACTTTTTACCAATGGTGTCTCAGAAAAACTTCCTGCTAGAGTGTATGCTAAGGGATAGGTATGTGAAGGTTTTTATTTTGAAGCTGAGGAGAAGAGGAAGCTTCATACTAACAAAGATTTACGGTAGCCATTAGTGGATTTCTTGCTCTGGATACCTGCCCAGAGTAGATGAAAATCCAGGTCATTAAACCTCTGAAGAAGTTCAGACTATGCAGAACTGAATCTGAAGTCAGATAAAGTTCAGCTCCTAGTCACTCTCCTCAAACCATTTATTTCATGGTATTTTATCTGAAGTTTTCTGATGAACATTGCAGTCCACCATTTAGCAAACATTATGTTCACTCACCGTTGTTACACTTGTCTGGCACTTCCATAGTAAGTGGTGCTGCTCGTTTGCCTTGACAAGAGAATAATATAATATGACATCTGGTGAAATGTGTTTTCCAAACCTCTCAGATTGTTTAATATGCAAAGGCACTGTGACTTTTCATGCTCTTGCCAGATTACCCACTAGCTTCTTTTGCTATAATCTAGACCAAGTTACACCACCTTGCACAGCTAACAGAGCACATCACTGGGCAGTTTTCTGTTGTTAGAGAGGATGCGACAAACAGGCTTGTCCCCAAACAGTTAGGGAAAACTACCATCTCTGATTATAAGTTTAGCTTATCAGAAGTACATAAACCTGAGGCAAAAAAAACCAAACACACAACAGGATTCTTCTGAAAGACACAAGCCATTCTGGTTACAGATCTTGACTTCTATTAAAAAGATTGCTGAGTTAGTGGGTGAATTTTTACAGAGTTGCATGGAGGTACTACAATTTAACTATTTTAAAACAGTAAGGAACAAGCAGTTTCAAACACAAAGCAGTAATTTAAGGTGTGAGATATGTTGACACCTTAGGTGATGCAATGCAAACTTGTAAGAGACAGACATGCATAAAGTTTTATGCCTCACATCCAGCTCATTTGAAATACGTTTTTGCCGGTTTTGAATATATATGTCACTTCCTAGTTATCCTGCGTTGGCAAAGTTTTACATTTTCTAGACAGAGATAGCCAGCACCTTTTTAAAAAAAAAAAAAGACCAGCCCTCCTCTTTCCACAAAATCCAGCTAGGGCTTGTAGAACATCCTTGAATCCAGACAGCATTCTGTACTAAAAGCTCGTGCTTCCATTTTACATAAAGCAGGTCAAAATGAATGTTTCACTCAGAACAACTCTACCATTTATAAAGAGGAAGGGCAGTGAGGGGGAACATACACGTGGAGTGAGAACATGTTAGTGGATTGCTAGAGTCAGATTAAAACAGAAAGACTGTTTAAATTGCAGAAGGAAGCTGTTTTACAAAGCAAGCCAAGATCTTATGTAGACTGGACCATGCAGTGTGTAGTCACTAACTTCCTAGCAGGCAAATAGTTTACAGTTTCTAGAACTTCTAATTTGTAAAACTTGAAATAAATTAGAACTTAAAAGTTTGCCCAAGAAGAGACAATGCTTGTATAACGGTTTTCACAATGTCAGAGACAGCAATAGATGAAACTTTTCGCTGCACACAGATGCAGCGCAGAACAGCCATATAGAAGTTTATGATTTGCAATAGGGGCCTTACCTTTACAGGACATTTCCTTTTCTACTTTATTATAGGAAATACTTTAAATATGCAGCATATAATAACAAACTGGAAAAATAAGCTGTATCTTCCATATATAAACTTTATTCCACTGGATGCCATACAAAATATTAAACTTAAAAAAAAGAAAATATAAATCCGACATCAATGGTAAGTACAGTTTTAACAATTAATTGGTCTTCAATAACAAATATATGAGACACACAAATTGTGCCACAGCAGGTCTAAAAGAGGGTTCACAACTCTTTTTTGGAAAAGCTAAAATTTCCTACATTACTTATTTAAATTCAATTTACAGTAGCTGACTAGTTTATAAATATTTACACAAAATCAAAATAGAAGCCCAACTTATTGTAGCAGTGGTAGAGTTGTGGGGGTCTGGTTTTTTTGGTTTGTTTGGGGGTTTGTTATTCTTTCAAAGCAGACATCACTACTACTTCAAATATGTAATAGGAAGCACTATGAAGTACCATGCCCACTCTGTGTGAATATGAAGCAATTATGTATATTGATTTGTTCTTTGTAGTAGAACTGTTGCTTGAAAGTTCCAGTTTAGATTACAGTTCTTGCTATCCAGAACAGTACCAACCATAATCTAGCTTAATTCTTATAAATTGTTGCTTGTTGTTCCATGTAAAAGGCAAAGAAAACTGGAAAGTGCCAAGTTGAGCAAAAGTGCTTACTGTAATGAAGCAGATGTAAAGCAGGGGCTGTCTGTTCATCAAGAAGTGGGTACTGTGCACAGTGCCTTAAGGATATAGTCAGACTTGCATATTGTTTAGCTCTGCATGTCTTTATTTCATGGTTAAATGTGTCTGAATTAATGATTACACAGATTATGGAAACAAGACAGTATATTCCCACAGATTCCATAAAATGAATTTGTTCTTGTGGTCTCTGAGTTTCTTCTAGAAGTCAACAAAGCAAGCATTTTCAGAAAACATACCTCTGAATGAACATCTGTATTAACAAATGTCAATAATAAAATATGCAGTCTTTCTTATAAACATTTTCTTAACAAGAGTTGACGGAGAAAAAGGTCATAAAAAAATGGGGTAAACAGCCTCTTACTTTTGATACTGTTCTTTATTTCA